AAGAAGAGGGTTCAGGGTATCCCCTAGTCGGGAGCTCCCGACTAGAACCTCTTACTTGTTATTCTTGATAGTCTACACGAGACGTTTTATAGCATATTTGTCGTTTGTTCTTATGAATGTTAAAAAGGTAGAATAAAAAGTTATTCTTGATAGTCTACAAATGTTATTGGTATTGAATGTTATTATTAAATATATAAAAAAAATTTGAATTTTTTTTATTAATTTTATATTCTTATAAAAAATAAAAGTATAAGTTGTAGAAAGTTTTTCGTAATTAAAAATACTTCGACAAACAATGTCAATTCATTTGCAATCGAAGTATTAACATATCGCATTCTCACGCTTCCACTCACGCTGCCATCACTAGTCACGACCTCATTGTGCACTTGCCTGTCCGCTCGAGTTGATTTACTCGCTAGAAATATTGGCCTTTATAAAAAAGAATTATTTGAATGCTGTATATTTGACACAGATTTTTTTTAACAGAGATTATGGAGCTTCAAATGTGTTGAAAACATAATTTTGCGGCAAATATAATCAGACAAATTTTGTAAATCAAATAAATACTTGTTGCTATTTAAGCGCAATGTCTCTAGCAAATGATGTTAAACCATTAACGATTTTATGAAAAATGGGTTTTCAATTGTTATCAATGTTAAAATTAAGTTTAATTTGCGCTTTTCTTTTGACATCATGATAAACATGTGTTTGACTATCAAATATACACTTGCTTTAAGAGGCTTGTAGAGATTTTGTTTCGTCCTAATGTAAAGTTAGAGTTTTTATAGTTTTGCAAAATATTCGTGGTAAATAAAGTTGTTAGACTTAAATAAAATTTATATATCTACTACTAATCCAAATGTATGTAACAGGCAGTAGGAGGTATCTCCGACCCCATAAAGTATATATATTCTTGATCAGCATCATTATCCAAGTCGATCTAACCAAGTCCGTCTGTCTGTTGGATAAATATGTGTTAAATGAGCTTTTATGCTATATGTGTTTACAAGGATATTCAGATTATATTTATTATTTGTTAAACTTCTGAAGAGTTTCTTGTGTACTCATTGCCATTTCGAACATGCACAATGCTACCCTTTTGTTTTTTATATAAAAATTTATATAAAATTATAGAAAACAATAAATATAGATATATAAATAGAAATGTTGTGTATTTCAATATCAGCGCAAGGCAAACAAACGCATAAGATTAACATAAGCCTAAGAGCGCAATATGTAAAATATTTAAATGCTATGCTTCATTGTTGTTGTTTATTGTTAAGGCTGCCGTTGTTGTTGTTGCTGTTGTTGTTCATGTTGTTTGCTGCTGTTGTTGTTTTTTTTGTTTTTTATTTGTTGTTGCTGGCCGCGCGGCAGCCTCTGTCTGGCCACGACGACCTACTTTTTTGCGCAAACGAACTAAAGTGTGATGATATTAGCGGGGATACGGGTTGGCGGGGCGTGTGTTTGTGTGTGTGTGTGTTTGTTGTGTATGTAAATGGTGTGGTCGTGTGTGTGCCTGCCTGTGTTCCGTATGCCTCAAACGAATGTTGTTGTTTTTGTTTTTGGTTGGATTTTCTTTTTATTTATATAAAAAAACGCAGCAGTGGTTGTTGTTGTTGCTATTGTTGTTGTTGTTGTTGTCGTCGTCGTCTTACGATCTGAGACAAACTCCATCGACTCTGTTGCCATGCAACTGTCAACTGCAGCAGCCGCTTCACGCGTTCATTTTTTCATCCGATTTTTTTTTTTGTATCTGTGTTTCTGTGTCTCTGCCATTTGTATCTGTGTAGCTATGCCTGAATGTATCTGCTCAGCAGCGCTGCCTTCAGCCGATTTATTTTTATACTATATGCAATCATTTTGATTTTGTTGTGATAATTATGTTCTCTTATTTTTCATGATATTGCGGCAGGGAAAGTAAATTTATGTAGCCTCTGTGCTTGTCTGGGGGCAAGTGGTTAACAGCAAAAAATTGCCCATAATTCTTGTGAGTTGCTCAGTTGCGCAGCTGGTTTGCAAATATACATAAATTTGTTTTGCCGTGGTTATCCTCCGGTTATTGTAATACCTATATGCCATATAAATGGGAACGCCCGATGATGGCCTGTTTTGTATGTGATAAAACACGAGTCTTAACTGGATCGCATGTGACCTCATTTCGTAATAAAGCAATTGCTCAGTGTGATTGTGATTGTTATAGGCTCATATGTTAATACTTATTATGATAATTATATTATTTTTTCGCTTGTGCTCCCGATACTCTTGAGCAAATTTCAAAGCTTTATGATATACCTATAATATATCAATTTTTTTAAAATTTTACTAGACTTTTAAATTAGTCTACCAGAAGCTACATTTCAAATTTTGCGATCCTAGCTCTTTAACCCTAAGGGGTTAGGGCACTAGGAGGACCTACGTTCAAAATTTTAAGCTTCTAGCTCATTCAGGTTCGACACGTTCATACTTATGGATGGCTTGTTCGACTCGCCTATGGATGCTGACCAGGAATGGCGTATTCTTTCCTCTTAGCCCTAACTTAAGATTAATTGTTAATTATATGATCCTTCTGTTTCAAAAGTCTGATATAAATTTTGTTAGATTTTTGCCATTGCTTTAAAAATATTCTTAATCCCTAGACAAAAAAGAGGTATTCTCTTATCCGACCCGTTTATTTTTCTACCTATTTCGAGTACGTTCGAACTTTTCTCTACTCTCTTATACTCTTATCAAAAGTAAATTAGCAGTTAAATAATCTAGTTGATATATATATTTTACTTTACCTTATTATTATTTATAATTTTGGGGTAGTATAATTTTGTCATTAAATGTGTAACGCGTAGAATGAGACGATGCCATAAAGTTAATATATTCTTGATCAGCATCAACAGCCGAGTTGATGTGGCCATGTCCCTATCTGTATCTTTTCGATGTAGTCTTTCAGTTTTCAAACAAATCAACTTGGAACATAGGCGCGTCTTACAGTTCGGATCGGACATCATATAGCTGCCCTATGAACGATCGAGTTGATAATAAGTTTTGGTATGGAAACCCATTTAGTCTATTAGTAAATCTTGGCCAAACTATGCTGCCAAGCCTTATAAAGATCGCCCTCCTAGAGAGTTTTTGCTTGTCAAAATATTCTGCTTCGCTATACTCACGTATTTGTATGGCTAAGGTCTACAAGGGTATTATATCATAGGCGTGCCGAAGATATCGTGACTTTCTCGTTTCGCAACCTATCGAAATTTTGTTGAACATATGCCGATTCCAGCTATTGGCAAATCTCTGGATTCAATCAGTGATCATTCACATTAGTAATGTGTTTTATTTTCGAGCTATGATATCAATTGTTGTTGTTTAATGTACTCGGGCCTCGAATAAACGTTGACGGCCATTCACCAGTCGCCATTCAGTAATCTGCCTGTGGAGCGGATCACATCTATGGGCACATTAACCGTTAGTTAATCGCGCCAGGTGCCTGCTGCCTATTTGGTTGCTTATCTCGTTTCACTTTCAGCCCGTGTTTACCAAAAAAAAAAAAAAAAAAAAACTATGAAAATATTTAACTTTATTATGTTTTACAATGTTATCAGAGCTGGCTACGTATGGCATACGAAACAGAAAAGAACGCGGCGGACTTTTATCAAGCTAGTCAAATTATGAAGGTTGAACTACAGTTAACAGGTTTTCATTTTATTTTATTTATTTTTTATTTTATTTTTTTATTTTTTAATTGTAAACGTTTTACTTTGTGTATAACATGAATAAACTACTGCAGTTTGTGCGGGCTGCGTATGCAAATATTTTGCCAGACACGAGTCCTTGATAGATAAGGAAAGCGTATTATAAGACGCGTGTGCTAGAAAGGGAAAGAGAAAGGGAGAGAGAGAGACAGAGTGATATATGGATAACATTTGCTGCGCTGTAGAGTATGCAACCCTTTTAGCCAAGTTAATGAACTAGCTAAATGTGTAATTAATGTGTCTACTTTTTTTTAATTTGTTTTATTTTTCATTTTATTTATTTTTTTGTTTATTTGTATTGTTTTCTGCCAGCTTTTGCGCACTCAACGCTGCCTGCTCGCTTATCTCTGGTCAATTCACACATGAATAATTGGCCTGGCTGCAAGCGGCGTGCTGTTTTGGGCCTTTATCTTATCAGCAACAGCCTCTGCCTCTTTCTCTCTCTCTCTCTCTCTCTCTCTCTCTCTCTTTCTCACACTCCCTGGCTATCTCTTGAGCTGATAGCGACTGATAGCTGTTGTTAATGTCTGGCATTTAGTACTGCGTTTTCATTCCAACTTCTGTGAAGTTCATTGAAAACGTTTCGCTCTTACCAATTGCAGCATTGTTGTTTGGGATTTTCAAAGCCTACACTTGAAGAAAAGGCACAGCACCAAATTTACAGTATGTTTGGTTTAGGATTCAGGTTGTTTTGCATTTCAAATATCAAAGTATGTTTCGTTCTCGTGAAAAATGCGAATGAGTACAATATTTACATTTGAGTATGAACTTTAAATTGACCCTTTGCTTTACACAAATATAAGCAAAGATAAGGCACAAAATACTTACTAGAAAAATTAACATGCTTGGAATAAGCGTAAAAAGTTCTTAATCTAAGTACTTGAAAAGAGAATTTCTTTCTCAGCTTAAGAAATATCAGCTATACAAATTTATGGTAAAAAAAGTTCTTGAAATAGGTATTTTGTACTTTGGATAACATTTGCACTTGAATGGATTTCAACAACTTTTTCTCTTAGTGTACTTATGCATGTGTAAGTTCGTGTTTGTGTGCGTGGGTGCTTTTGCTATCAGTTTGATATTGCGATTTCGCTGGCAACTGCTATAAATATGAATTTCATGCTATTAGAATTTTCTGTTCATTTTAAATGTTCCTTACAAGCGGTTGATTTTCTCTTACCCAAAATAAAATCAGTGCCGAAAACAGTGTAGTTGAGTGTTTGTGCGTGTGTATGTGTGTGACATGGCTTCAGCCATCAATAACAAAATATAATGTTTAATTCTTGCAACGGCTGGGAAAACTGTAACTTTCCCAGTGCTGAAAATAATTTCTATGGCGACGATGCCAGCTGCTTCTATGAGCCAGACATAAAACCACAACAACAACAACAAGAACAGCAACAGCAACAAAACCCGTCTAATGGCTTAATCTATGGCTGTAGGCCCATTAATGAGCCTGCCGTAAACTTCAATAATGGTGGCTTCTACAATATGCCCGCACCACCAACGCCAGCCTATGCAGGCGGCGGTGTTGCGGCTGGCGGCCTGTACAACGGCTGCTCGAGCCTGGAGCTGTCGCCGTCGATGTCGCGCTTTCATCCTTACCAGCGGCAGGCATCCGATTTTTGCCAGTTCTCGCCGGGCTATGGCCGGCAGTCGGGCATACCCTATGCACGTCCCGGTATGCGGCTGCTCAACCTGGCTACGCCGTGTCGTGGCAATCAGCCCTGGGGCTATGAGCATTGCTATGGCTATGGACCGAGTCAACCGGAGCCCTGTCAATTTACGCAGTTTGTGGATATTGAGGACTTTATGTAAGTGCAGGGATTGGGCGTAGCGTAGACAGCATTGAAATGCACTTGGTATTCGCTGGGTGTCCAGTCTTTCTGTCCATCCATTTGGCTATCAGCGGGCCCAGACTTAATAACAAAACGTTAAAAATGCCAGCATTAGTCGCTTATCACACCGCCCGACAACTAAGTAACCAGAGTGGGCGCACATCTTATCGCGCCCACAGTACTATTATTATACATTAGACATATGTATGAGCTTATTTATGTGCCTGCACAAAAACTATGTATACCCTGTATAGGTCATAGATTGCGAGCAGTAGCTTGAAGCGAGAAATTATTGGAAAATTCTTCATTGACTGAAGCGCAAATTGACTGTAAATCGCAATATTTAATGCTGGTTTCTGGAAAATGCATAGATATTCTCGATTAATACGAGCTGAATTGATCTTGCCGAAGGTTTATCATAGCGTAAAATATCTAATAGCCTGATTTCACTATGCTCAACATTTGTTACATTTACAAACTTCACATTCTGCTATTCCATTAGCAAGTGTCAAGTGTCAAAAGTATTGATTTTTTTAATAAACATCTGATCGGTTTGATCTTTAAATGCGAAAAACTGAGGATTTAATAAAATAAAAATTTGACAAATCTTCGCAAAAAACGTGGTGTTATGATAAATCTTCGCAAATAATGTGGTGATATGGGAAAACCTACAGGTAACATACTTCACATTCACAAAAAATGTAACATTCGTAAGAAATGTAAGAAATGTTGATAGTGAAGTTAGGCTATAAATATGTAAAATGTTGATTGTTGTTCTCATAAATATCTTCTCTTCTATTTGGTTTTTGTTCTACATATAAGTGCCATCTTAAAGAGCTAAAAATTTGAGAGGTTTCGGTCGATGTCGAGAAGAGTTTTTCAAAAAGGAATTATCTAGAATATGAAGCTGAGTGAAGTATTAATAAGTTATTAATGTCGTGAGGCTGTTTACAGGGTAGTTCTTAGTCGGATAATTTCAGCATAAGCATGTTTTTTAGTTTAATTAGTACTTAGCTGAAGTAGTCATTAAATTAACATATATATATATATATACATATATATCTATATATTTTAAATTATATAAAAGCTTAACGTTCGTCTCTCCTGTTGACGTTGTATGTTTCTACATAAAAGAAAGTCCGAAATTTAAAATCTATTATCAATTTAGATTTTGTTATCAGTTTGCACTTACATAATCTATGTGCGTGTGTTGTACACTTTTGATTGCTTGGGTATTTAAATGAGGCCAGTCCTAAGCCCATACGTAGCAAATGTATAAATATATCAGAAATATTTCAGTTTATTATCTATAAAATGTAAATCAAAGCAATAAAATCAACGATAAGAAAGGTGATCTACAATAAAAGCCGAGCGTGTGTCACTTTAGCAAGCTGCTTCAGCATAGATATAATTTTTTTTGAATCAAAAACAAATTTTGTTTTTAAATAAACACAATTTTTCCCAATTTAGTATATTTAATAAAAAAAAGGAAAGTAAAATTAATTGCTGCCGTCTCTCGATTGACGCAGAAGAATGCTTACTTTACATGCCGAAGGCGTGCGACTGCCTCATAGCTCACACACACAAACACCTAATAATGTGTGTGTGCCTGTGTGTCTGTGTGTGTGCGTGTGTGTGTGTGTATCTGTGTGTCTCGCAAAGAATTTGTTTACGTTTGACTAACCGCAAACGAGCTGCACGTTTAGCCATAATATTTGCTTATCTATTGCAATATCCGAAACACCTAATAATATATAATGTATATATTTATATTTGCATTACTTATATTTATATTACTTAGCAAAGCGTCAGATTTATAGCTGTGTTCTGAGTTCTGTTTTTAAGTTTGACCTTAAACTTGGCTTCGACTTGTCTGAAATTTGATTTAAAATAATTTAGTCTTATTTAGACTTTGCTTGTCTTATATATTTGGATATTAACTTTTTAATTGATATTTTATTTTTTAAACTAGTTCATTTTTTGAATTGTTATATTGAACATTTATTTTCTGGGATTTCAATAGGAAGCTTCATCCTTTTATTTTTAATATCTTAATATCTAGAATCTACAGTATTTTTTTTAAGGTCTAGAATTTCTTTTCAGGATATTTGAATTGAAATAGTTTTGAAATGAAATTTATTCTTACCAATTTCTGCATATTTAAATTAAGTTTAAAAATTCGTGCGTTTCAATTTCTGCTTACTTTTAATTGCCATTAATTTAAATTAACATGAAGCTCCAGTTTATACTCAAAATTAACTTAAAGCTCCCGTTTACGAAAATCTCTGCATACAAAATAATGCATGCAAATAAATTTCTTAGAAATAAGAATTTGATATAACTTTTCCTGGAACCCTAGAGTAACTTACTGGACGGAATTGTTAACCTATACCAGGATCTCACTTAAGCACACGGTGTTTCAGATGAGTTCAGATGAGTTCAATTAAATATAGAAAGAACCAAACTAACTTTCTTAAAATTAAGAATTTAAAATACAAGGCTTCTTTTGCATTCCACATGCCAACCTAAATTTGAAAACAATTTTAATTGGCATGCGGTTAGTTAAATCTAATAAATGGATTGTGCATGCGAGGTAATTGAAACACATGAGTGTTTAGTTGTAAATTAATTGCAATTAAAACACATGAGTTTTATTTGCCTTAACTGAAATTTCCATTCTATAAGATTTGGTTAGGAGTTAACAGGTTTTGAGTACCTACATATATATATTTATGTATATATAAATATATTATCAATAGTATTAGCCGTAAGATGCTGTTGCTAGAACTGGTTTAATAATTCTTAGGCGGCTGTCAGCTCTCGTGATTTTTAGCTAGTCGCATTATAAAGATTACGTTACATATAGTTCTACATTGTGCTTATAATAGCGCACGTGCCCAGACTATGCCCTAGTACCCGCCGCGCACCGCTGCCATTGAGCGTCGCTCAAAGGCGGTCGCAGCCGGAAACGCTTAAAGCAACCACAGCAAGCAATAGCAACAATAACAACAACAATTAAAAAACAACAAAACAAAATGCAGTCGCCTTGTGAATATATTAAAAACAATTCACTTCGCCACAGCCGCCCCTCGCATCTTCGGGCCGTTTAAGCAGGCCATTAGCATGCAATCAAAGGCCCCCACTGGGGCGGGGCATGGCGATAGGGTGGCACGATACGATACATTCGAACTGCTGTTTATAAATACTTATTTTTATGTACTTGGGGAATTGTTGTATCAAAGCACTTGCTTATATATTTCAAAACCATTTTGTGTGTTAAATATTAATATAAGAAGTCGAACCGGCAAATGTTGAGATTTTCTTTTTATCTAAAATATAGATAATAACAAATTTTTTTTTCATTAATTGTTCTTATGCTATATATATATATTTATATATATTGCTATTGTTCAGTTGTTGCTTCTATTTAAGGAACATATAGAAGTAAATAATGTATTCTTGATGGACCAGAAAGATTTTTATGAACAAATTCAAATTATTGCCATGCTATTCATATAATAAAGTCTGCTATAAAACCAATGTTCCGTAGCAAGACTTATCAAACTAGTTTTAACAGTCAGATATCGACTTGGCTGTTCACTGATCACGCATATATAATATATATCTATATATGTATATATGCATAGTAATCGATAATTTCGTAATTTGATATGCATATATATACTTGTCCATGTTTTATATAAATATGTTCACAAATAATTTGTATCGAACTATCGACTACTCGTCGATAAATGTCAAATTCGATGATTAGTAAAATCGATTTCTTTCCACCAATTATGTTGCAGAGATATCAACTTTGACAAGCCATCGATAATTCCAGTAAAAATAATTGTGCACATATATTAAACATGCCTGTATATATACATATATATGTAGTATATATAATTATGTAATCGATTTCTAGCCACCATTTATGTTGCATATTTCGAATAATTTAATCGTTTTTACATGCCTTAAAGAGACTTTCTGCATACTCTGCCCAGATGTACGACAGAATTGAAAATCGAAATATTAGAATTTCAGCCACGCTTTTATTTTTTGGTTTAAACACAAATTTAAATATATTTAGACTGGAAAATTTAACGATCGCGCTATAAACACATATTTTTTAAAAGAATGTATATTACGCTGAGGTAAAAAGTAAAGTCTCAGCTAAAATTGTGTGCTGTTTTTGTGTGTTTTGTGTGCGTGGATTGGTTAATGGGAATCTGGGAATAGAGTATTCTCTAGCTGGGAAACTAGGGCTCACTAGACCACATTAACTTAGTATCTCGTTTTCCATAGAAACTCATATTAGTAAAAAGCAATTGTTATCAGGCATTTGTTTGGCCCGATATAAATATTGTTTTCAAAGTCAAGCATTTGTTGCCAATTGCCGTTTGGAAGCAGGAATTACATGCTGCTAAAGAGTATTACAAACAGTTTAGTTTGTCAATTGGGCTGGCCACACGTCGTATGAGTAATGCGATAAATAATAATATTAATACTTTGTTGCTATATTTTTTTTCGGTTTGTCTGCCTGTCTTACTGATATGGCGGCATTGCTTGACATGTAAAGCTTCCAAAAGAAAATGGAATTGTTGACGGATGGGCCGTGGTAGCGGGCGTGTAGGGGGGGGGGGGGCGGTTGTGGGTAAGATCTGCCGCTGTGACGTTTGGCGCTTGTTGTCAAGAGGTGGCTGCTGCTTCGGCCTGGCTTTATATATATATTTTATATTTATTTATTTTTCAAATAGTTTATCTTGTTTTATTACTCTGCGCGACTCGATAATTAATTTGAGTTTTTTGGTCAACTTTTTTGGATTTTTCGTGAATTTCACAAATATGTCGGCATATTTCTGTGCATATATTTAGTTGATGCGATTTTTGCTACGTGCCGCAGCTACCGCAACGTATTTATATAAGCCTTAAAATACTTTTTATTTGGCGACCTTATTTCGCATATTTATTAATACGAGACTATAAACATTATAATGATTATTCGCCAGCAATTGATTTGGCATATTAGTTTTGCGACAGCTCACGAGTTTTTCTTGGCAGCTGCAGTTACTTAGCTGCTATTTTATATATAGTATATATATTTTCGTCAGAATTGGCAGCGCAACGTGTGTTTTGCGTGAGGTCAGTGTACTCTAAACTGTCTAATAAATGTACGCACATAAATTAAATACATATAGATGTATATATATATATATATACATTTGCAATTTGTCATGTGAACTTTAATTTCTTTGTCTTCTTTTTTGTGGGCCAATTGATAAGACATTGGGCATATGTATTTGTTTGTTTAGTTTTCCTTGAGGCACTTTCTAATAAACATGTTTACATATTCCTATCTTCTGTGCAAAATACCGCTTGGAGGTGACTAATTCCCCCGACGAATGCGTTCGGGTCATTCACTTTCCATTGAACTTTCCGACGTGCTAATTGCCTTTAACATGCGTCTCGAAGATGAGCGAAAAAATCATTGCTTTATTTTTTGTTTTTATATTTTCCCTTTGTTTGTCAGCAACTCGAATGGTGTCAAGGCTTTGACTTGTTATTATCTAATTACTTGATGTCATGTCAGCCAGGTTCTGGTTATCTTAAGCCACTGAGCACAGTCCACTTGTCCACATAAGTGGTGCAGTCCACTGCCTGGCATGAACAAGAAGCAAGAGTTTGTGTGTGTGTTAGTGTATGGGCTAAAAGTGAAAGGGTCTTAAATAAATTTCTGCCATTCGTAACACACATAATCGACCTTCTCCTCGATAATATTACAAAATTTCTACCACGAACATGTTTCGAGAAAAAAAGTGTTCATACATGCAAAAGTTGAAGATGCAAAATCTAGAGGGTAAACCTAGTCCATAAAATTTATTTAATCGGTTTACTTTACCTCAGACATGCTCAGAATTCTAGAAAATGTTGATTATTTTAATACATTAAATTCAAATGTATAATTGATCCAGACGGCAATTCAAAATTGTTCCAAATTGTGACGTCACGCGCCAACATTCTGTTGCAGCCAGTACATGTTTCGGAACTGTTCGAATCGGAACTTTTTATAATAAAGCTGCTATAGAAACGCTAGGTCGATAATAGGTTATGGTTTGAAAAACTTCTTGGTTTATTAAGATATCTTGATATTTACCAGAAAGACTACGACTCTTTTATGTGAGCGAAATCTTATCAAGATCTCGCTACTGCACTATTTGAAGAATCGGTCATTCTTGAAGGTCTTGAAGGGTATTAAATTTTCGGCGTCACAAAGATATCCCCACTTTTTTGTTACATATATAATTTTTAAAACTATTAATGAACTGTTCGCATTCAATTCAAAGTCGATTTATAATCATTTTCTATTTTTTGGAAAAGTTTTGGGCTCGTCCCGTGTTTTGGCGCAGCTGCCGTGAACTTTGCCACCTTCGCCTTGCAAGCAAATTTTAGCGAATGTTTTGCTCAATTGAAAAATTAAGCGCTGGCCGCGTCAATTGAATCAAATCAAATAAAAACGCAGCAAATCGCAACAATTGAAATGCACGCATTTCTGCCTACCCAACAGCCCCGAACCTCCTCAGGGTATCGCTCCCTAGCTGTAAGCATGTAAATTTTTGCAAAACCAGTGTAACGACGTCAAGAGTGGTCTACGTGATCCGTTGCAGATCTAGCTTTTCCACTTTGCATATACGCATACTTATGCAGTTGAATTCTATTTGCAGGAATAATGAAAAGCGCAAGGAAAAGTCACGAGATGCGGCGCGTTGTCGTCGCTCCAAGGAGACCGAAATATTTATGGAACTTTCTCAGGCATTGCCGCTGAAGCCCGACGATGTCAATCAGCTGGACAAGGCATCAGTGATGCGCATTACAATTGCCTATCTGAAAATACGACAGATGCTCGAGTTTGGTAGGCTTTTTATTAGCATAATGCCCCATTATAATATTTATTTTATATGCACCTATATATTTTCTTATAGTACCCAATATACGTGAGCTCATCGACATGGCCGACGGGGATGCGACTGCGACACTAGTGAAGCCCAAGGTGGAAAACGATAGCGAGGATTGGCTTAAGTCCGCCGAGGCTAGTCAACTATTGAAGCAGACAATGGATGGCTTTTTGGTGGTGCTATCCAATGAGGGCGACGTCACCTACGTCTCGGATAACATTATAGATTATCTGGGCATAACAAAGGTGCCAACAAAATTTAATATATATTTGTCTTGATACAGCTAATCATAATTATGTATACTTCAGATTGATACACTGGGCCAACAGATCTGGGAGTATACGCATCAGTGCGATCATGCCGAGATCAAAGAGGCGCTTAATCTTAAACGCAATGGCATTGCCGACAAGATCAAGGATGAGCAGCTAATCGAATCGGGCGTTAGCACACATCATCGCGATCTGTTCGTGCGCATGAAATGCACCCTAACCAGAAGCGGGCGCAGCATCAATATCAAGAGCGCCTCCTATAAGGTGCGAATTTAAACTGAAAAACTTAATGCTTGCAAATTGCTTAAAATATATTTTTTCCATTCTGTATCCAGGTTATACACATAACCGGCCATTTGCGCGTCAATAGCAAAGGCGAGCGTGTGCTCATTGCCATTGGTCGACCCATTCCGCATCCCTCGAACATTGAAATACCGCTGGGCACCAGCACATTTCTGACCAAGCACAGCCTGGACATGAAGTTCACCTATGTGGATGACAAGTGAGCCCAAGTGCATAGATCATATAAAGCTATAGTATCTAATATCCTTTTGGTTTTGCTTTCTCAGAATGCTCGCACTGCTTGGCTATCTGCCTGGCGATCTTCTCGAGACGTCGCTTTTCGATTGCCAGCATGGCGCTGACTCGGAGCGTCTGATGGCCACCTTTAAGAGCGGTAAGTGCGCGACTAGGGAAATTTGTATGTCGCTTGCTCATTAAAACTAACTGCTGCTAACTAATGTTAAACTAATTACTTTAATGTACAAATTAAAACGCGTTCTCGTCGTTAGTTTGTGCCGCGTAGCGTAAGCGTACGGGCGGACTGGCACTCTGACTCTTCCTCCGACTGACGGAGTCCTGTTAATGTTCTTACACATCAAAACAAAGTTGTCACTCGTTGGCTTCTTATACTCTAGCTGCGGGTATATCAATTTTATTAAGGGAGATATTGACAATATATAAAATATATATATATAAACATGCCTGATCGGCGTCAACAGCCAAGTCGATAAAGCCATGTGCGATAGCCTATCTGTCTGTTTCTATGCAAACTGTTCTCATGTTTAGGGTTCTTTCAGATTTAAACTTTTTCTTGGAAACTGCATAAATCCGTCTTTTTGTTGCGGGCAGTACATATATCGTAGTCCACCGGATCGTGTCACTGTATAATATGGTTGTCATTGGAAATTAACAGTTAGTATCATAGCCAAACTTATCATTTACTAGTTTTACTAGGCTCTTTATTTGCCAGGAACATTCGATTAGCGTATTGTATAGCTGGCATAGAAATGATTGGTCGAACATTAAGTTTTTGTATTTTAAAAACCTTTTTGTTTTTTTGAAGGATATCAATAATTTCTAGCTTTACTAGACCAAATTGATTAGGTTCGGTCTACTAATTATATAGCTTCCGTGGGAATTGTCGATCGGAAATGGATTTAATTTTATTTCGGATATCTTAAACAATCTTGCGTTTCCCGTTTGCTGAATCTTTTGAGCTTGTGGAAGCATGGAAAGTGGATCAGTAGCCCAATCAAACTCAGTAAAAACGAGCTGTTGTTAGATCCACAATTATGAGCTAAATCTTCTCCATATTAGACTACCTAAACAAACATATAGCTGCTATAGGAACAGTATGTCAAAGTAAATTGCTAGGGTATTCAATCTTTGGTAATTTGGTTGCTTATTTTCTCATCACTTCCTGTCACGCCCTACCCTGCCGTATCCTGCTGCGTGTCTCGCCCGTCTGGTTCCGTTCGCCAGTTACCGTCGCTTGCTTATTGCATTTAATTAGTTGTAGCACACCGTTGGCCAACTCCATCATCCGGCTTCTGCGTGTCCTGGCATAAAGACCATTGTCCAATGCCGTTGCCAGGCTTTGCTTTAATTTCACTTTAGTTGCTAATTAGCTTTAGCGAAACTAAATAAATAAATTGTTTCGGACAGCTTGGCTGTCTCTCTAGGTGGTTTCTGCTTGAGCGCCCAAAAGTTTGGCTGCTCTCAATGTTGTTTTATTTTTTATGTCGCTTGACGCATTCTCGTCAAATTTGGTTTATTAGTTTACAAATATTATTGAAGCTAATTAGTTGGTCTGCCGCGCTTTCTAGTTCGTTAAAAGCTGTATATATGCTAATCTTATCAGTTTGTTTCGTATAACGACAATTGCGCTCAATTTTAAGAAGATTGATTTAATAGTCATTTAAATGAACATAAATAGAAAGCAAATGCGATTAGAATAACTGTTTATTTAAGATAATAATTAACAAGCTGATTACTTGACTAATTATAAAGTCATTTATTATTATTATTTATATTTTAAATGATTTTTCAACAACTTTATCAGCCATTTCTTGATTAATAATACATGTGTGTGCACATTTAAATAAGCGTTTGCTTTGATTTTCATTATATTTTCAAACTCTGCGCTTTAAATGCAATTATTTATCTGACTAACTTTTAACGATTAGGCTTTTGTGCTCAGCTATAAGTTTTCCATTAATCCACAGGGCCCACAATAGGAAGTTTAATATATTTTTTTTAACTGGCAGTTATTTGGTTCATATTGAGTATTCAAAAAGAATTATGTTGATTCAATTGCTTTATGCTTATTCAGATAAATAATCCATAACACAATTTTGGACAGAGACTGTTTAAGATATTCATTTATTAAGTTTTGTTTCCGATAATAAATAATAAATCTTTTTAGTTTAATAAGATTACACTGCAAACACGATTTTTACAAGGACTTGTCTATTATACTTATCTACTTTCTTTATAGAAAGTAATGCCTATTCCACTTTCAAATCAAATCTATTCAAATGAATCGATAATATATTGCATCGATAGCTATTACCAACTATAGTTGCAGATTTTTAGATCGAACGTTATATGCATATTTTTATTAATTAGTTTGGAAAGGTTTAGAAAGATCTAATTTTTAACGATTGTTATCGATTATTGCACACTGATACCTATCCCCCAAGCAGTACAACAAGCAGTGCAACTGCTTACCTCGACAGTGTTTTCTAAAAGTTATGGCTCTCTTTTTAGCTCGGCTCGAGTATTAAATATATGGCTAATTGAAGAAGCGTCAGCTTTAGTCATCAGCCGCCGCCTGGACAAACTTTGGACTCCAAACATTTTGGGTCTCTGTTCTCGCTTAAGCACTTTACTAATTTTTGTCTTCAAGGAAGAATAAATTCCGGCTCTTGTCCTGGCGCAAGTTTCAGCTATTGTTTGCTTATTTGTTGCGTTTAATGGCCGCGTCATGTCGTCTACATTGACCAAATAATGTTTTTGGTATGTTGCTGCCGCTGCCGCTGCCGCTGCACTTAAAATGCCAACGCTGGGCAATAAAAGAGCTGCTGCTGACCATTGTTGGTGCATTGTACCCAAGCAAGAGGGCGCATCCTGGTCGAAGAAAAGGCAAACAAAAAGCTATAATGCTCCAGTCCAAAGTGTCCGACTAGAAGATAGCCTGTAAGCAGCGACGATTTGTCATAATGGAAAGATATACTGTAATAACTTGGGTATCTATTGATCGATCTTTATGAAATATGTACACATTCCAAAGTCCAAGAATATATCTGGGAAACGGGGGAAGTCATACAAAATGTAAAATATTCGTATGTTCTTCACGACAACCATATTCTCATATTCTTCGAGTTGTGGTATTTTTTTTTCAATAATATGAAAATGGGAAATTATGTCGAAAAAAATGACTCATTCCGCGTATTATGTCCGAGAATATATTCAACATCCAAGTCTTCATATTTTTGTAGTTTCATACTTGGCTAGATAGATGCTTTTTTCAAAATGCCATGATACCCTTTAGTCTATCCATTTTCAATGGTAACAGGGTACAAAAAACAAGAAGAAGCAAAGGAATTGTCACTGTACTACAATTGGAATTATTATTGGCTGCAATGACTTTGGCTTCTTGGCGGCAGACACGTTCTGTGCGAAATGACTTTCGGTTTTATGATGCGACATGCATTCGAGCTTGGACACACAACTGGACCCGTTGCTCAGGAATGCAGCTCCAGCTGCTCCGCATCCGGCTCGGCGTGCATATCGCATATCGTTAGCAAAAGTTGCCAGCGAGAGCTGTAAAAATGTCTTTGAAAGTCGTAAAAGTATTTCATACATTTTTGTTTTTTTTTTTCTATTTTTTTGTTGGTCTTCTTCCATTTTTTCTTTTTATTAAGTCTCTCCGCATTCTGATAGTTAGCCACGTTAGCTTCTTGGCTAAGCAGCTGCCACGCCCACCCACACATTAGGAACTTTTCTACTTGGTTTTTAGTTATGTTAGTTGAAAGCTCACTCGACATATTATTGTTTATGAGCGCTGTCCATTTTTATTTCCATTTGATTTTCATAAAGTTGACATGCTTATGATCATATGCGAGAGTGTGCCGTTTGAGGGGTCAGGGCCTCGAACCCTGGGCATTACTCGCTCTGGCTTAAAGCACTTGCGCCCTGTGACAAACAGTTCAATAAAATACAAAATGTGCGGAAAATCGCAAATGTCATGGCGAGGGCGAGCATTTGGAAATCTCGAAAACGTTTTCCACGTTTAGCTGTTACTGCGACTGCTGCTGCGACTGCTGCTGATGTGCATTGAAATGGAAATGCGAAATGGTTTCAATGAGCGAAAAAGAAAAACTGCGAGCATTTCCATGCTGCAAATAAAGACGACAATTTGGCCTCGAGGCGAAAAATTATGAAAAGCAGCAGCAACAGCAGCAGCAGCAGCAGCAGCAGCAAAGAAAATGTGAACAGCATTTTCCGACGCAAAAGTAAATTTAACGTGGCAGATAAATAAAAACCCGCCCAGATAAAGATAAAAGCAGCGCGCGTGGCAAATGTTGTAATAAATTTGCAACGAAAAACAATACCAACAAAAAATGGCGCTGGCAGATTTTGCCAACAAATCGACTGTTGCGTGAGCAAAACTTTATCTTCCCAGCTCTGCTGGCTGTGGGTGTGGCAGCAGTAGCAGTAGCAGTGGCAGTCGGGTGCATTGCCGCGGCATTTGCCAAGGCGTTCAACTTTCAACTCTTGCAAAAGTTGCTGCAGCTCTGCATTTGAGTTTGCCAATGACAGTTGCTGCTGCTGCTGCTGCTGCTGCTGCTTCTGCTGCTGCAGTTACTGCAGCTACTGCTGCTGCATTTGTATACGTATGTGTTTATTTTTAGCACTTTTGACAGACACGTACGCAACAGCAGCGCCAAATGTTGCATGCTACTTGGGGCTTGCCTATGCCAACGAGCAGCAGCAGCAGCAGCTTTAAATGCTGCCCAGAATGGACAACATTTTGCATGGGGCAGTTGCAAGTCAGACTCTTCTCTATACTCAACCTATGCAACTAGCCTTCTACCCTTGCCGCCTTCGTTTACTGCCGCATTTTCAAGTGCAACTTTTGAGTCTTCAGTTTATTTTTGGTAGTTCGCGAGCGGTTGGTTGTGTAATCAACATAACAAGCGACTTGGTAGTTTACGAGTCTGTTAATGCCTTTTACTCACAAACACACACACCTATACCTAGACCTACACACCAACACACATCTAGACGCGCTTCCTGTCTAAAACGCCGTCATGTCTGCGCGGGCAAAACGCTTCCTGTCAAATTGTGTCGATGGGAGATGACAGCGTGAAGTCTTTAATACGATTATTA